AGAGAGAGAGAGAGAGAGAGAGAGAGAGAGAGAGAGAGAGAGAGAGAGAGAGAGAGAGTTGACAACAGGAGTGCGGAACGTTTTTTGAGGTTGTGCAGTGGTGGGGTTTGCGGAGAGGAAGGGGAGAACCAGGAGTGTGGCATCGTGGACTCGGTTCTTTTGCGGTTTCTTTTGAGGAGAGTGGGGAGGAGGTGAATAGGGAGCAGAGAGGAGGACAGCAGAGGGCGTTCGCGATGACGTCGTTCACGGGAACTCAGGAGCGGTGCAAAAGATGCAGTAAGATTGTGTATTTTATTGAACAGCTCCTGATTGATGAGCAGGTGTTTCATAGGTCTTGTTTCAGATGTCATCATTGCAAAAGGACCCTGAAGCTGGGAAGTTACGCCTCCCTGCAGGGCGTTCTCTATTGCAAGCCTCATTTTGACCAACTATTCAAAATGAAGGGGAGTTTCACCGAATGTTTCCATCTTCCTGAAGGCGTGAAGAGCCCTGTATCGGAAGTCGACCCGCTTCGACGCTCCACTGGAGACCTGAAGCCGTCCAAGTTTTCCCATTTCTTCTCTGGAACGCAGGACAAGTGCAAGGCTTGCAACAAGACAGTGTATCCTCTAGAGAAGGTATCTCTCCCTCCCCACCTCTCTCTCTCTCTCTCTCTCTTTCTCTCTCGCTCGCTCGCTCTATGTTTGCGTTATATTCTCTCTTTCACTTCGGTTCCCTCCTACCCTCTCTCTCTGGTGCTAGCTTTTCCGACATATCTCCCGATGTTTTTCGCTCTCTCAAAGGCCCTTTCCTTCTCTCACACTCGCTCTCACACTCTCTCGCGTACACACTCTGGCACACACTCTCTCGCTCTCACTCTCTCGCACACATTCTCTCATTGGTTGTCTCACTTGCCGCCGTTGTGCTCCGTCTATCTTGATCACTCACCATGACCCTTCAAATTTGTCGAACTAATGACTGGTTTGCCAATTCCGCTGAAACAGGGTGAGAAAGTCCACCCGAAAGTCTTTCGCATTGTCAACATGGCGGTAGTAGTTTCCAGCTCTACTCTTTTTTCCCCTTTTATCTGGAATGTTTCTCATGGAAGAATGACGTCTCTCTCTCTCTCTCTCTCAACCGCACTTTCTCTAGCTCTGTCTCCCTCTCTCTCTCTCCACCGCACTTTCTGTATCTCTGTCTCCCTCTCTCTGTCTGTCTGTCATTCTCTTTTTCTTTCCCGATCTCTGCCGCCTCTGTCATCAGGTCGTCGCCGCCTATCTTCTCT